GACAGAAGTGGAAAAAGTATAGAAGTACAGATTTTCATAATTCATGTGTTGTAAGCTTTTAAGTAAGGTGCACTGACATATTGCATGACTGTATGTCATGGAATATTTACTGTCTGACATTTGCTGTTCTACATGTTGAGGTTTTTGCTTTTGCTGGAATCTTTCACAGCACTTGCATCATATAATTATAGGTGTTTTATGACTTAATTAAATATCTCAAACACCATCTATGATGAAGATACAGCCAAATAAAAGCTTTTAAAATTTGCCTTTTCTTAGTTCAAGAAAAAAATAACTTTATACAGTTTAGTACATTGACTGTCATATTTTTCACACCAAACACAACCAAAGAAAAGATTTGGCTTTCCAAGTAGCATCAGATCTGAATCAACTATATGTATCATTTTCACTGTAGTTTTAAACAAGAAATTATCCAAAGAAGGACAAAAAGTGGATAAAATAAACTCTAAATCAGGCAAAAAACACAAGAGCAGTCCAAGTATTACCCAACAGAACTTGGTGCACATACCACAGTTTGAGAAACACTGGCATAATAGAAAAATTACAGCCAAATTCCGCTTACCTGTCAGTTTATTCAAGTTCTCTGTGACTTCACCCTTTGTTTTTTCAGCTTCACCCTATAGAAACAACAGAATTAAAGAATAAATCATTGTTACCAGGCTGACTTTGATAGTCTGTAGCCTTTACAGTAAAAAGAAAGAAACTGAAAGCATTTTGATTAACTGGGCCAGTGGTTCACCTTTTCCTTGTTGCACGTGTTGATATTTTCCTCCCAAGCAGTTTTCTCTTTTTGGAGGGTTTCCTTTTTCGTCTTCAGGTTCTGCGTCTCTGTGATCATTGACATCATTTGTGGTCTGACTCCCAGCATAGTCTTTTTCATCTCGGAGACTGTATTTTCATATCTTGAGATTTGCATAGTTTTCTCTTCTGTCGAACTCTTCAGACGTTTAAGGATAAACTCCTGACGCACGGCTTGGGAAATCATTACGGCCATCACAGCCGCACACGCCACGCACAAGAAAATTAACAGCTTCATTGTGCTACCATGTAATCCGCGAAATACAGAAACTGGTCACCTTAAAATCATATCCTCTCGCTTGTCTACCACTATGCACCTGTTGCTCCTCACCTGTCTCTACGTAACTTGTTAAACTTGCTCATCAGGAAAGGCTCGACTGACTCTGCGTCCGTCTTACCTGTTTCCACGATAACTTTAATCGCCACTAAGCGACCGTCTAAAGAGAGCTTAACCTCACGCAGCTGGTTGGGTGGAATCTTAATTTTTTACCACTGTCAAATAGCCTATGAAAGTATCCTTCCTGTTTTGGCAGCCGACTAAATTTTTATTTATTTATTGTTTTTGCTCAGCCAAACTATACAGGTGTCACGATCCAATTACGCGTTCAGGTTCCGGATAGGGGCGTGCGTTTGGGGGAAGGAAAATCGTGATTGGCTGTCTTGGATACACAGCCCTAATTATGCGAGGTGCCCAGTCCAGACAGACAGGTAAAGGAAGAGCGTCTTAAATTCGAATGTTTTTAATTTAACTTTTGGGTTTTCCATAGGAAGACGATCACTCTTGTACCAAACATGAAGGCACAAATTCTGTTACCAGTTTCTATTGCGATTTCCGTGGCTTCGTTTGCGCTTATGAAAATTCGTATACCAGAGATAGTTTCACATGAAAAAAGGATTTCGATTCTAGACGTGAAGTTGCGGGTGTCAGAGGGCATGGTGGCGGAGTACGAGAAGGAGAAACAAAGCACCGAGAGCCGAATGCAGATGGAGAAGACTGCGCAAGAGCAGCTCCAAAAGGAACTGACTGAACTGTCCACGGCCTCGAACACGAAGAAAACAGAGCTAGATGCGTGTATGGGGCAGAAGGTGAGTTTATGTTTATTGTGGCACAAATGTAAAAACAACACCACTATATGCAAAAACAAAATGTTATCTCAAGCCACTAGTTAACCATTGTGCCATCAGTGATGGTGGACAGCACACATGCTCGTGATCTTGGATAGGCCTATAGGCGTATTATTGCTTGATTTGCTTGAAATGCTCTTTGGTATTTGTCTGAGATCCAGAATATACACTTCTCCAATACTTTACGAAGATGTGAGTCTGGTCATTGGTGACCCAATTTTCAAATGTGCGTGATTGACAGGTGACTCTGATATAAATCAAGGGTCATGTCAGTGCATTTCCTTACCTCAAACCAATTTTATATAGAAAAGACCCTGCAACTCTGAGCTTTGAAGTCATAAATTTAGGCCTGAATAAATAATCAATCTTTATTTTTTTTTTTTTACACTGACAGAAAACAGTGACAGATGAAATTGCTTCAGCGCAAGAGCAATTAAAAACATTCCAAGGTAAGTTGTTAAACCTCTATCTATCTATCACATTATTCTTTCACAATATTAGAACCTTAACCGTTGCCATAGTAATTTACAGATCCAAATTACATTTTCTTTTCTTTAGAATTGGAAGTACTCAAAATGTCAGCTTATAGTTAACAAAAGATGGCAGTATTTCAAATGATTTGAGGGGTTTATTTTTAGCACATTCATGAACATACAGCCTGGCTGTAGGTTCTGGTTAAATTTACTAACAAAATCTCTTAAAATCTGTGTGAAATACTTTTACACATTTTTGAACGGACACTTCAATGCCTTTAATTATTATTATTATTATTATTATTTTATATTTTTTTACTTTAGCAGCAAAATTGAGTACTTCATCCGCCACTTGCAAATACTGTCCTGTTTAGTGAACAGCATTTGATTAGAGACGTAACAATAACCAAAATATCACAATATTGTACTGTCAAAAGTCTCTCAGTACTACGGTGGGCTGTCACAATATATCAAATTACAAGTCTCTTTAATGAACTTAAATTCATTGTCATAGTACAGCAATAGCTAAAAACAGATGGAACTACATAGACCATGATTCTTTGCTCTGTTTCAGTGCAGACTTTATGAAGAAATAACTATAATTAAGCACTTTTACATTTTAGCGCTTTGGATTATGACAGAAATAAAATCTTGTCAATGCATTTTAAAAAAAGTAAAAGTAGCATATTCACAATTTGGTGCGCCTCCACAAAATATCGCCATAAAATATCGTGAATATATTGTACTGAGAGATTCAGATGTCGTTACATCCTTACAAATGGTGCTTGCATGTAAAAAATGTCTACATCAGGTGTACTAAAATGCGTCTCACTTGACAGATCAGAGCGCGAAGGAGAAGACGGCCTGGGAAGCAGAGATTGCAGCTCTTAAAGAGAACCTCAATACACAAAGTCCCATTTGTAACTACCTTAAACCAGGATCCTCAGTGCAAGGGTACGTGTTTACTTAATCTTTACAATATAATTACTCACCATTAATATTCCCTGTGGTGGTGTGATGCTAAGAGAAGGCACTGCTCTGTCTGAAGCTTTGTCTGAAGCTCTTTTGCTCAAGTAAGGCTTTAATCTGATCTTTGTTTTAACATAATCTGACCATAAAGAACTGACTTCGTGGTGTGAGAGGATTTGTGGTGTGGTTGTGGTTTTTCAGTCAGTTACTCTCATCTTTTTTTGTTGAACTTAAACATCTAAACTAGGGCCCGACCGATATGGTTTTTATTGTGGCCGATATGATACCGATTAAATGGGAGTCAGAGCTGCCGATAGCCGATATAATCGCTGGTATATTTAGTGATGTAAAAATTCACTGTTAATCTTGAATTGTAAAAAAAAACAAAAACTGAGGTTTGGCTCTAGTGGATTTTAAATTGGGACCCATCACTACTAGCTAGTAAAGAAAGTAAACTACCGCTATTAGCCTTTAGCTGTAAATGTGTGCGTGCCAATATAATTAATTATATGTGGAAATGTCATCATTCACACTTCTATTCATAGCTCATTTACGTATCAATGCAGGTCCAGTAACAAATATACGGCCAATGTAGTCAAAGAGAAAACAGCCTGTTTATGTGCGGGAGCTACAGCAGCTAATCGCTAACCAATGAGAAAGAACCAAAACTAGCTTCAAAATCAACACATTTCCAACACTCACCGCTTACACAGGCTCCTCCTCACATCACAAGTCTGCACTAATAAATGTCCATTTAATCCTGACTCAAACTGAGTGTCCATAAAAATAATATAATCTCAGTGTTGCGCACATGGATCTGTGTCTGCGGGTGTAAACAAACACACGTGACTGACGTGACTCTGGGGGTGTGTTCAGGGACAGTACGGACACACACACAGACAAATGACTCCGCAGATAAATACTGATGCGGAGTCACATATTAGGACATTTATCTGTCTGTAAATTGGATTAAATGAGCATAATGACATGCAACATATGTATTGGCCATATCGGCAAGATTTAGGCCGATCGCCGATATGTTTTCAGGTGCCAACTGATATATAAGTCAGGCCCTAATCTAAACAGGACCATAACTGCTCATATTGAACACAGGCTCATGAACATGTGTTGTTATAAATCCATTTTGTATTTTTTCAAGAGTTTTCAGGCAATCTTAAACTTTTTTTTTTGTTTGTGTTTGGTAATGTGTGCGTTGTCTCCATGGTAACTGCTAAACATTCCTCCATAGCTGTACATGTGGAACACTCCCAGTGTGAATTCACAGCAAAAGATCAATTCATGTTTAATAACTTTCTGTGTCTGCACTTGTGCAGTTGTCCGGAGAAGAAAGAAGAGCCAAAACCAAATGCAGAGCAACCAAAGCCCGAGCCCCCCAAAGCTGAAGAAGCTAAACCAGATGCCCCGAAACCAGATGCTCCAAAACCAGAGGAACCTAAAGCAGATGCCCCAAAACCAGAGGAACCTAAAGCAGATGCCCCAAAACCAGAGGAGCCTAAACAAGAAGCACAAAATCCAGAAGCCGTCAAACCAGAAGCTCCTAAACAATAAAACCTTATGTTTCCTCATCATAAACAGACCTGGATTTGTGTTTTGTTTCATTCACACATTTTTAACACACAAATCCATCATATGCTTAGTTCTTCCCCTTTACTCCATACACTTTCACATACTGAGAATAATTTGGATGATTTTAGCCCATGACATCACAACGTGGAACAGAGCATTTACAGATTTGTAGATGTAGACTAATAATAAAGGATTACTCAAATGTGTGTGAAATAAACAAAACACAACTCCAGGTATGTTTTTGAGAAGGTAACAACATTATAACACGACCTAAAGCTCACAAGAATCCATTTTGTGTATTGTAGGACCTTTGAAAGGAAATAGCTCTTTGTACAACAGCGCCAAGATGCACACTCAAAATCAGAGCATTATGAGAACTTTTGAGTGAAAATGACTTGATGATTTTATGGTGAACCTATTTCTTTCTGATTACTACAAAAAACATTCCCTGCTAGTGCAAAGAAAGGTAAACACAATAGTTATTAAACCTGAAAAAGTAATGTTCTTTCTATGATTTATTAAAGATAAGAGGATATAATCATTATCGTGACAGGACAATTAACAACCCGAATTCTGACTTAACATGCTGTTGGTCATTATCCAGCCATAATTCTTTAAAAAATATTTATTTTTGTGAGACTGGGCCATAAACTCAGTAAGATTTATTAGTTGGGAGCTGTTGTGTCTCATAGGTTGTTGGTATTCTTGAAATTGAATGGTTTCATTTCAGATTGAGAGTGGGGGTCTATGTAACTCTAAAAAATGTAATTTACTATTTTGGAAGAAATTAAGACATATAACTTAAACTTAGTCAGACATGGAGTATAAAAGCTCTTACCTCAAAATATTACTCGAGTATTGGAATTAAGCATGATATAGTAAAATTATAGTTAAAGGTACAATTCTAAAAGTTACTGAAGTAAATGTAAATTGCTACCACCCACATTTGAATATGCTGCAATTCAGAAACATGGAAGTTTGGTTTTATATAACCCAAAATGTTGGTTTATGTATGCAGTTTACTATGTCGTTGTTATAATGTTGTTTAATATGTTTAAAAAAGGAAAAAAAAAAGATCTCTTCATTCAGTCCTGGCTGGCATGTGACATTTAAAATATATATCCAGTAAGTTTTATGTTAGAAAAGTACTGGCAAGTTTGTCAACACCCCTTGCATCCTGAGGGGTAGTTTCAAAGATCGTTGCTTTGTCTATGTGGTGTTTTGCCATGGGGTAGTAATCTGTACTTTGTGTTTTAAAGGCATATTAATGTTCAGTCAGTCTGTCACGGAAAAGGTGCTACATCTCCCTTACATAAAAAGCACATTCAGAACAGGAGACAAAACGATGTCTATGTACAGGGCGAGCATGTTAAGCAAACACTAACCTGTATCCTGTTGTGAAGTCAATTATTAAAGAGGTGAAGAGAAACAGCCAAAGTTATTATTAGTTTATATAGCGTAGTGATATGTGTTGTGTGTGTCAATGAAAACAATTCAAACTAATTGTGAATAAAATAATTTATCTTAATATGAGCACTTTGAGTAAGTTGTATTTACATTTCATAAGCCAACTGCCATGTTTGCTTCATTGGTAATACAAAGTGTAAAGAAACTAGTCAAATATGATAAATTTGTCAAGTTAAAAAACAAATCCACCAAAATAAGTCATGCTAGATGAAAATATTCTTGTGCAGTTATTTTTTCTGTAATTTCTGAACATTTTAATGAAAACATTTAAATGAATTGTCCCCTTTCACGCTATTGAAGCCAATACTGCCACCCCATCTGTTGGACTGTCCCGGGCAAATGCTCCCTCCAGGCTCAAAGGCAATCACAAGCCATTATTCTGCCCCAGTAGTCCCACAAGGTCAACCCTGAAAGGGAGAGGGGACAGGCGGGAATGCAGTCCAGAGGTGGTGGCGCACTCAGCTACATGACAACTGTGAATCCATGGAGTTATCCAGGAGTTACTGACACTAACACACGGCAAGTCTTAAAGGTGCACTGTGTAACTTTTTCCGTGGAGAGTCCGTTACCTTCTAGTCACATTCCTTTCCCAATAATGTCCTACAGCATGGAATTAAATCTACCTGTGATAAGCAGGTGTGTTGGTGTGATTGATCTGAGTTGTTTGACACATGGCCTTCAATGGAGTGTGTGCTATTCAGATGTGACTGTAAGGATTCAGGATTACACAGTGTCACAGGGAAACACATATTGACTAGACAGAGAAGAGAGAGCCTGCCCTGTCTCGCAATCCTCATATGAAAATATATGTATGTTTTTCCTGCTCTTTTCTTTGTGTCAGTGTGTAGTCGTCATTGAGGTAAAACATACACAAGATAAGAAAAGTAAGGAAAGTATTTGAGGGTATCCTTGAGTTTCGGAATGACTGCACATTAGGACGGTTAGGCCTGGGTATTATTAAGAAGTTGCCGATACAATACATACCTCGATACATAGGCCACGATATAATCCATATCTCGATACAGTGACCTTACAATTCGATACGATTCAATACGATATATTTCAAGTTGATTGGAAACAGTTTCATAAATATTAAAGGCTAAATCATGGCTGTGATACTAAAAGACTTTGTTAAAACACTTCTTGTGCAAAGTTCATATGAAACACAAACATTTTACTCATCAAAACAGTGAAAATGTCAAATGTGTCGCATAAACAAATTTTCTTCCTCTGAATAAGCAACAAAACTGTTGTGCTGTTACAAAATAATTTAGTAAAATATACCAAAAAAAATACTTTTGGAGATATATCAATAAAGGAGCCCACTATATCGATATTGTATCATCACATTAAATTATATGATATATCGATATTTCAATATTTTTGCACACCATTAAGGACGGTTGTCATAGAGATTAGCAAGATAAAAGTCCTTAAAGTCATGTCTAAAAAGTAAGCTGAAAGCCATAGTTTTGGATATTGCCAACATGTTCTTTGTTGCAATCCCTGATGAAAAAAGAAATGAATGGAGATGTTATGTTATTGATCCATTTCCATGAGGACAAGCAGATGATACCACCAGGTCAGATCTGAAGAGAGGCAACCCCGCTCACACTATGAATACTTGGTTTTCGAGGTATTTTAATAAACTTGCAAAAACACTTTTTTTCTGGGAGGACCACATTATCGCTCCTCACTGTGATGGGGGCCAGGGTCGGGTCGAACGTATCACAGAATTGTATGACCCTGACGACACAAAGTATATTCTTTGAAAACCGCCACACTTTCTTTACATCAGACAAACTGCATGGTCCTTACACTGAACAAAAAAATCCACTGCTCTTTGAAAACTCTGAATTTTCTGTCAGGTTTTTGTACTTTAACATGAGCCATTTTGCTGTCCTTATCTGCAGTACAGAACTCTGCGTGCGTTGACTGTCACTGCTTGATCTTGAGTTTGTCAGGTGACGAAAATTCGGCAGCAAATGTAAATAAAAAATCAATGTAAAACCCACTGCTATAGAGTAGACTGTGCTTTCTCCAAACATACAATACAATACAATACAAGATGCAGACGTGTTATTATTTACCACAAAGCCATTTTTAAAAAAGGCCATGACAACTTTTGAGGATTGCCTCATAGGGCCAGTTCAAGTGGTGAGGGGGTAGAGGGGCTGGGGGGCCGGTCAAAGGGGCGTGGAGGGCTACAGTTGGCCCGCAGGCCTTAGTTTGATGACCGCTGCTTTAACTGAATAAATTCAACAGATAGTTTAAACTTAGCATCTAAATGGAGACAGACACCACCAAAACAATTTACAGGTCACGTCTATGGAGAGGCGATCCCATTCACTGCAAGGTATTAACTGAATAAGTATATAAAGTAATAAAGTAATGTTTAAATGCATTACTATGGAACATTTCAGGTGAAGTTATTAGCTCACCATTGGAAATAAGCAGGCCTTAAGTTACACAGTGTACTTTTAATAGAATGTAGCAGCTAATATTGTCCCTTAAACAGTATTTTTTCATCGTATTTTGTACTAAACCACAGTTCATACGTAACCTTGACAAAAGCATTCGTCTTTCAGCTGTATAGATTTCCTCGGACTTGCTCGCTTCCACTCGCCATTGTTTTTAGACGCTCAATTTTTCAGCTACAAGTGTGGCAAAGCATAAAACCCACTGCTATAGAGTAGACTGTGCTTTCTCCAAACATACAATACAATACAATACAAAACAATAGAATACGTGAGCTGGGTGAATGAACCAGGAGCCCCTCGCACTCTCCAGTCAGTCTCCCCTTTAATGGAATGTGACCCAACAACATTCATACATATTCAGAGTGGGCCAATGAGAGATGGGTCTGTGGGTGGTGCTTTCAGGAGCAATGGGGAAACAGAAAATGTACAACAGTGCGTGGATTCTTGGCAGATTTAACCATAAGGATTTTTATAATTAATTCTATTCAGAAACATACCTGCAGTTATTTTATTTATTCATGCATGCTTCAGTAATCCTATTTAGTCCACCTGCCTCTAAAGGGCTCAAAATGCTTGTTCCCCTCTGGTGTATGTCTGGAAATTAGAATTTATGATGAAGCTGTACTGCCTTCGCTGGACTTGTTTTTATAATTTCAGTTCTGAAGTTGTGTTCACTTGCAGTATGAAAAAAAGCATATTTTTGTACCAGTGGACTTTGTAACTTTTCTGGTGGAGTGCCTGTCATGTGCCTCTCTCTTGCCTGGAATGTTCCACAGTATGGTATTAGACTTAATTATCTTTACAGAGACAGTAGGGGATGCCACAGGGCCAAGTTACATGGCAGATCTGTGGAGATGCAAGCCCACTCAAGATTGCATGTTCAATAAAAGGTCAATAAAAACCCATGTTATTGATTAAATGTAAGATGGATATGTTTAATGCCATACCGGGACATTCCAGACAAAATGATAACATCTCCATGGAGACAAGCAGGTGCACTAGCCCGATTCATCAGGTGGTTTCACTTCGTACAAACCGTCTGACCTCGCAGCATTAGAATTTTTTTCGCTTGACGGTAAGCGGATACTTTTTAAAATTTTGACCAATCGCTGCAATTTGGTCATGACGTATGTAATGTGCCACTAACGGGACTAACTGGTATATTAAGCTTTTCCCAAATCCATAGGAAGAAGGGCAATAACGCCTTCCTCCTTGGTCAAATTCACCAAACATTCTTTTTGTTCTGGCTTTAAATCTTCGATCGCGATCTCAGATTCATTGCCATCACAGAATGTATGACTCTTCGCTGATTGGCTGGTGCCCGGACTCGCTCATCTGGGGTTTTTGCGAACCATCTAGTGTATTCCAATTCCTGACCTAGTTTCTGGAGAGAAATGCAATTGAGCAGATGCACTAGGTGGCTAGGTGCACACCCTGAAACCAGAAATGTTACCAGTGCACATTTAAGTATATGCCAATATCCAATATTAACCGATACCGGTGTAGGGATTGAATTTTTTTTTATCCTGCAAGTGACAACTGGACAGTATTGTATGAATTAAAGTTCAAAGATGTTCCTGGGCCTACATTCACTTCACTTCATCACTAGGACACAAAACAATACAACAATCCCTTTTATTATTGTGTACATACACTTACAATGGGCAGGCGTCATTTATAGTGAATTTTATTTTGCCTCCAATTGTTTTTGCATTTCGCCCTACGCTTGTTTTTTGACAAGCTCTGTTACTTTTATAATGTTTGTGTTTTAATTCATTGTCCAACCAGGATATATCGGCTGAATCAATATCGTGGAATCAATACCCGCAAATATCCAGCAAATTTTCCTGGATTGGTGCTGATATTCGAAACCAGTATTCATATCAGTGCATCTCTACAAAAGAAATAATGCAGTAATGTACAGCCTTTTATCCTGGTAAGACATATGCACTTTGTAGTACATCCATGCACATGTAAACACTGTTGTGTTGCTGTAAATGCTAATATCTGACTGGTCCAGGCGTCAGAGCAGCCGGAGCTGTCATGTCATGTGCTGTTACACTTCCTCACAGCAGAGCACAGCCTCTTCTATTGATCCATGTGTCTACAAGGCCTTCACCAGTGCGATCAAACTCAAACCAACAAAGATGTAACAAGAAACGACTCTGCTCGGTTTGTGTTTGGTCCAGTGAAGTAATATTTGAATGGAAGAAATACAAAATGAAAGTATTAATCTTTCTAAACATAATGGTCCTATGTTATGCAAAATTGACTCTTGTTGCAGTTACCTCCTCAAACCTGGAGTTGTTTTGTTTCAACCCTTTATTATCAATCTGTCCCGAACTCAAATCATCTTAATGAGTGTGATGAAGGTACATGGAGTTGATAAGAAAGACTTTATAGCATGTAACAGGAATCTAGCACTGATAAATATGGGGAAGTTCAGGAGGTTGGTGGTTCATGTTGTGTTTAAATCCTGGAAGGAAGTTGGACAGGAAAGGAGAGGGAGTGTATTTATATTAGTAGGTCAAGGAGTGATTGGTTGAGAGGCCAAAATGATCTGATTAATTGACGGTGAAAGGTCGT